TACCACACTCTACCACACTCTACCACACTCTACCCATCTACCACACTCTACCACAATCTATCACACTCTACCACACTCTACCACACTCTACCACACTCTACCACACTCTACCACACTCTACCACACTCTACCACACTCTACCAAACTCTACCACACTCTACCCATCTACCACACTCTACCACACTCTACCACACTCTACCCATCTACCACACTCTACCACACTCTACCACACTCTACCACACCCTCCCACACTCTACCACACTCTACCACACTCTACTACACTCTACCACACTCTATCACACTCTACCACACCCTCCCACACTCTACCACACTCTACCCACACTCTACCACACTCTACCACACTCTACCACACTCTACCACACTCTACCACACTCTACCACACTCTACCAAACTCTACCACACTCTACCCATCTACCACACTCTACCACACTCTACCACACTCTACCCATCTACCACACTCTACCACACTCTACCACACTCTACCAAACTCTACCACACTCTACCACACTCTACCACACTCTACCACACTCTACCACACTCTACCACACTCTACCCATCTACCACACTCTACCACACTCTACCACACTCTACCCATCTACCACACTCTATCACACTCTACCACACTCTACCACACTCTACCAAACTCTACCACACTCTACCCATCTACCACACTCTACCACACTCTACCACACTCTACCCATCTGCCACACTCTACCACACTCTACCACACTCTACCACACTCTACCACACTCTACCACACTCTATCACACTCTACCACACTCTACCCATCTACCACACTCTACCACACTCTACCACACTCTACCCATCTACCACACTCTACCACACTCTACCACACTCTACCCATCTACCACACTCTACCACACTCTACCACACTCTACCCATCTACCACACTCTATCACACTCTACCACACTCTACCACACTCTACCAAACTCTACCACACTCTACCCATCTACCACACGCTACCACACTCTACCACACTCTACCCATCTGCCACACTCTACCACACTCTACCACACTCTACCACACTCTACCACACTCTACCACACTCTATCACACTCTACCACACTCTACCACACTCTACCACACTCTACCCACACTCTACCACACTCTACCACACTCTACCACACTCTACCACACTCTACCACACTCTACCACACTTTACCACACTCTACCACATTCTACCACACTTTACCACACTCTACCACACTCTACCACACTCTACCAAACTCTAACACACTCTACCACACTCTACCCACACCCTCCCACACTCTACCACACTCTACCAAACTCTAACACACTCTAACACACTCTACCACACTCTACCACACTCTACCAAACTCTAACACACTCTAACACACTCTATCACACTCTACCACACTCTACCCATCTACCACACTCTCCCACACTCTCCCACACTCTCCCACACTCTACCACACACTAAAACACTCTATCACACTCTACCACACTACCACCAGTCTACCACACTCTACCACACTCTACCCACACTCTACCACACTCTAACACACTCTACCACACTCTACCCATCTACCACACTCTACCACACTCTACCACACTCTACCCACACTCTACCACACTCTACCCATCTACCACACTCTACCACACTCTACCACACTCTACCACACTCTACCACACTCTACCACATCTACCACACTCTACCACACTCTACCACACTCTACCACACTCTACCACACTCTACCACACTCTACCAAACTCTACCACACTCTACCACACTCTACCACACTCTACCACACTCTACCACACTCTACCACACTCTACCACACTCTACCACACTCTACCACACTCTACCACACTCTACCACACTCTACCCATCTACCACACTCTACCACACTCTACCACACTCTACCACACTCTACCCATCTACCACACTCTACCACACTCTACCACACTCTACCACACTCTACCACACTCTACCACACTCTACCACACTCTACCACACTCTACCCATCTACCACACTCTACCACAATCTATCACACTCTACCACACTCTACCACACTCTACCACACTCTACCACACTCTACCACACTCTACCACACTCTACCACACTCTACCAAACTCTACCACACTCTACCCATCTACCACACTCTACCACACTCTACCACACTCTACCCATCTACCACACTCTACCACACTCTACCACACTCTACCACACCCTCCCACACTCTACCACACTCTACCACACTCTACCACACTCTACCACACTCTATCACACTCTACCACACCCTCCCACACTCTACCACACTCTACCCACACTCTACCACACTCTACCACACTCTACCACACTCTACCACACTCTACCACACTCTACCACACTCTACCAAACTCTACCACACTCTACCCATCTACCACACTCTACCACACTCTACCACACTCTACCCATCTACCACACTCTACCACACTCTACCACACTCTACCAAACTCTACCACACTCTACCACACTCTACCACACTCTACCACACTCTACCACACTCTATCACACTCTACCACACTCTACCACACTCTACCACACTCTATCACACTCTACCCATCTACCACACTCTACCACACTCTACCCATCTACCACACTCTACCACACTCTACCACACTCTACCACACTCTACCACACTCTACCACACTCTACCACACTCTACCACACTCTACCAAACTCTACCACACTCTACCACACTCTACCACACCCTCCCACACTCTACCACACTCTACCACACTCTACCACACCCTCCCACACTCTACCACACTCTACCACACTCTACCACACTCTACCACACTCTACCAAACTCTACCACACTCTATCACACTCTACCACACCCTCCCACACTCTACCACACTCTACCCACACTCTACCACACTCTACCACACTCTACCACACTCTACCACACTCTACCACACTCTAACACACTCTACCACACTCTACCACACTCTACCAGACTCTACCACACTCTACCTATCTACCACACTCTACCCCACTCTACCACACTCTACCACACTCTACCAAACTCTACCGCACTCTACCACACTCTACCACACTCTACCACACTCTACCACACTCTACCACACTCTACCACACTCTACCAAACTCTACCACACTCTACCCATCTACCACACTCTACCTTACTCTACCACACTCTACCCATCTACCACACTCTACCACACTCTACCACACTCTACCCATCTACCACACTCTACCACACTCTACCACACTCTAACAACTTTCTATCACACTCTACCACACTCTACCACACTCTACCACACTCTACCAAACTCTACCACACTCTACCCATCTACCACACTCTACCACACTCTACCACACTCTACCCATCTGCCACACTCTACCACACTCTACCACACTCTACCACACTCTACCACACTCTACCACACTCTATCACACTCTACCACACCCTCCCACACTCTACCACACTCTACCCACACTCTACCACACTCTACCACACTCTACCACACTCTACCACACTCTACCACACTTTACCACACTCTACCACATTCTACCACACTTTACCACACTCTACCACACTCTACCACACTCTACCAAACTCTAACACACTCTACCACACTCTACCACACTCTATCACACTCTACCACACTCTACCACACTCTACCCACACCCTCCCACACTCTACCACACTCTACCACACTCTACCACACTCTACCACACTCTACCCACACCCTCCCACACTCTACCACACTCTACCACACTCTACCACACTCTACCACACTCTACCACACTCTATCACACTCTACCACACTCTACCACACTCTACCCACACCCTCCCACACTCTACCACACTCTACCACACTCTACCACACTCTACCACACTCTACCACACTCTACCACACTCTACCACACTCTACCACACTCTACCACACTCTATCACACTCTACCACACTCTACCACACTCTACCCACACCCTCCCACACTCTACCACACTCTACCACACTCTACCACACTCTACCACACTCTATCACACTCTACCACACTCTACCACACTCTACCCACACCCTCCCACACTCTACCACACTCTACCACACTCTACCACACTCTACCACACTCTACCACACTCTACCACACTCTACCCACACCCTCCCACACTCTACCACACTCTACCCACACCCTCCCACACTCTACCACACTCTACCCACACTCTACCACACTCTACCACACTCTACCACACACTACCACACTCTACCACACTCTACCCACACTCTACCACACTCTACCACACTCTACCACACTCTACCACACTCTACCCACACCCTCCCACACTCTACCAAACTCTAACACACTCTACCACACTCTACCCATCTACCACACTCTACCACATTCTACCACACTTTACCACACTCTACCACATTCTACCACACTTTACCACACTCCACCACACTTTACCACACTCTACCACACTCTACCACACATCTCCCACATTCTACCACACTTTACCACACTCTGCCACACTCTACCACATTCTACCACACTCTACCACACTCTACCACACTCTACCACACTCTACCACACTCTACCACACTCTACCAGACTCTACCACACTCTACCTATCTACCACACTCTACCCCACTCTACCACACTCTACCACACTCTACCAAACTCTACCACACTCTACCACACTCTACCACACTCTACCACACTCTACCACACTCTACCAAACTCTAACACACTCTAACACACTCTACCACACTCTACCACACTCTACCACACTCTACCACACTCTACCAAACTCTAACACACTCTAACACACTCTACCACACTCTACCACACTCTACCACACTCTACCACACTCTACCGCACTCTGCCACACTCTACCACACTCTACCACACTCTACCAACACTCTACCACACTCTACCCATCTACCACACTCTACCGCACTCTACCACACTCTACCACACTCTACCGTTTTCCTCCTTCAGTTCTAGCATTCCTTTCTCCATGACCGTCACATTTTGTTGAAGTCCACTCTTCTCATCTTGAAGCTTTACTGTTTTGTTTGATTTACAAACAAAATAAAACTGCTTTATTATGCATGAAACATTATTTTTTTTGTTTAATTCTTAACATTTTACAGGTAAACTTACATAGCCTATTTTTAAAAATGTGACAACTGACTAAAAATGTATCGACTTATTTAATACAGGCGTCATGTAGAGAGTAACCAACGGTTAGCTTTCACTGAATCAAACCTAGCCTGTATGACAGCTGTGTTGCCATCCATACTTACAAATGATTAAAGTTTTCTCGGGTTCCATGGCTTGTCCTGTTTGCAATGAGCCACTCAGTTCCTTGACTTTGTTTTCAATAAGTTGTGCCACATGGCTCAGTTTGACCCCTGGGTCTTTGAGAGTTTGAATCAGGCACTTGTACCAGCCCTTGTAGAGCAGAAGTCTACTACACAACAAGAGGCTTGCCTGAATTTCACCTTTGGAGTTGTTCTCTGCCTTGATATAGGCCTGCAAGGAAATGGCACTAAAGGGCTATAATGTGTTATGTTAATGTGGGTCATTTCAAGATTAGGGGAATACGGGGGGCATACACGGGCCAAGCACCAATGAAAGATTACAATGAGAAATAAAAAAAACATGGCACTGTATGGGGGACAAAAGGATAAAACCAGATGAAATGCCGGGAGTGGTTCTTGTTGGCTGCAAGGGAAAAGGGAATTCCGAGGAGACTCGCAGCTGAAGAATATCAGGTAAAAGTCTGACTACCCTGGGGACAGTGGAGGGACTACCCAGGGGATAGTGGAGGGACTACCCAGAAATAGTGGAGTGACTACCCTGGGGACAGTGGAGGGACTACCCAGGGGTAGTGGAGGGACTACCATGGGGATAGATGGTATTTTTTTTTTAAAAGCGGTACCCGAGCAGTAGGTTGGAAGATAGAGAAACATTTAAACTACTTCAATTAAATAGTTTCATTAATTACGTCTTTGAAATATGAGTTGCATGAACGTACAAGGTCATTGCTGGTCAGAACATTAAGGTCGTATTTTTGAAAGACGTGGAGAACATTCTCAGGTTTGATGAAGCGCTCAAACAAATCATGCAAAAAAGGTTGGATTCGACATAGAAATTCCTGCGTAAAATAAACCTCCTCCATTTTGTTCTTGACTATCTGCAAAGAGAACACGACAAGAGAAGCTCTGATAACATAAAATCAAGCGTTAATGTCAATTCTAAAATAGAGAGACTGGTTCCTATGTGTATAAAATAACAAGCTTTGTAAATCACAAAAAAATTACTATTCTCTGGCAAAGGATAAAACGGTTGTCTAAACACTAATGTTGTCAATACACTAGGGTTGACTATACAGTGTTATAACTTAAAACATCACATTTTAATATATATATATATATATATATATATATATATATATATACTAGCTGTCACGACCAACCCTGTACTGGCCTTTGTAAAGAACCTATCTGTAAATGACCATGAATTGTGTGTTTGTTTAGCAGCATATACCCGGCATTGCCCGGGTTTATCAAATATATTACCTTTCCAATTAAATTTTGTATTTATGCAAATGAGGACGTTTGAAAAAATTACAAATAACCCTAAACCTAACTCTAACTCTAAACTTAAGCCTAACCACAACCAATCAAAAGCAAAACAAAACAAATACACACAAAAAAAACGCAAACAAAAACAAAAAGACAATCGCAAACGCAAACATAAACGCAAAATATAATCTCATAGTGCTCACAGTATAGCCTTAGGCGCTAGTGGACCCGCCTTATTCAACGTAGTAAACGTCTATAATACACCATATTATCCATAGTCTATTGCACTCAATAAAACTAACGTAGGCGCCAAAGCTCTCACGGGAAGGCCCGCGGCACCAAGTAGCAACCTGTCGGGGCGTTGGATTCGATTTTGTGAACGGCTATAGTAACCTTTTTATCCATGGCCTATCGCACTCTTTAAAACGAACGATTGCACCATAGCGCTCATAGAATAGCCGGGGGCGCCAAATCAAATCTTGCGTGGCGCCGGCGGTTGCGGCTAATCCAATTCAGTGAACGACTATAATACCCCATCTTATCCGAAAATGGAAAGATAAAAGTAACAGATAACATTTAGGAACGGCTTCTAAACAGTTATTGATTTTTTAAAATTCTTAGTAAAAAGTACATTCAATGCATAAAAAAATAATACCGCTTTTCATTATATCAATCCATGCTAATGATATAATTGTGTTTTTACCAAATGCTAAAAAAAATATTTAAAAAGTAACTTTTCTTTCCGATGAAATGTCTTTTTAAATTGTCATATAAGTCATTAATACAAAGGGACGTATTTTGGTTACTTGTTTCAAACAAAATTGTAATTTTTGTAAAAGGTGATACATTTAGTTTAATTTTGTTCTTTTAACATTAAGTCAATAAATTTACCAATGGAAATTTAATTTGAAACAGATCAATATAGTTTTTTTTTCAAATCATCAATTTAGACTTTAGCACAAAAATAAACACTTTGAACGTATTACACAATGGCGATCGAGTAGAGATTTTCTACTATATTACATGTGCTCTATAAATTTCGCGCGCCACAGAGACACAGAGTCAATTAAACTTTATATTTGGTCAGGGGCGGAACCACCATACCGCCAGACCCCGCAATGCGGGGGGGGGGGGGGGGGGGGGGGGCCAGGACGTCCAGGGGCCCAGTTCCGACCAAAAAACAATGATTTTTTTTTCAAAAATTATGTTTTTCATGCATCTTGAAAGTGGTTTTGTAAAAAAAAAAAAAAGGGGGTCTACTATAGCAGAGATTTTTACGCGCATGCCCTTATATGGAGTTTCATATAAAATTTTACTTTGTAGAAAACAACTTCTATCTCACTTATTTTTAAAACAAAAGAAAAGGTCACTACACCAGCGGGTACACGAGTGCTTGGCCCTTAGATTGCTGTAAAGTTTCAGGTGCCTCGCGGGACATAAATACATGTAATACCCGCTCGAAGATAGCCGCTGTCCGCGTAGTAGTGTGAAAACTTGCCGGGGGGTACCATGTTTCACATCGCAATAAACGGATAACCGTAAACTGTAGAAGTCCGAAATGTTCGGGTTAGATAGATAAAAGGTATTAGTATCGAATTAAGAAATAAAAATTTTGGGGAGCAAAATTAAAATTTTATCGAAAACATGGGTATCTTGTTCCCTTAAATCTACAAAAGCTATAGTTTGAAAGGTAAGCAAACATCCACACTAATTCCATGACTTACTGCCCTACTTTAAAATAGGTATGCCCACGAAGCTCATTTAAATAGTTTTGTACTATGTATATTAAAAAGCAATTGATTCTCTGAATTGTTATTTAAATAAGACGTACTAAACAATGATATAGCTATAAAAATTAATGTTTTCAAAATTGATATTATATAAGCCAAAAATGAAAAAAATAAACATAACGCGAGAAACCATTCACGAATCAAGCTTACGACTTTATATTTTTTTGACCAGCTTTGATAGTAGTGGTCATGACAATTTCAAGCCCAAGATGAGTGTGGACTAAATTTATCTGGTTTGTTCTCTCAGAATGGTTATATATTGCAATGAAGTAGACTAAATTACTCAGTTAGGATATAGGTTATATATATATATATATATATATATATATATATATATATATATATATATATATATATATATATATATATATACAGGGGGCCCTAATTTTTTCTTTGCGGGGGAGCCTTTTTTCTAGTTCCGCCACTGTATTTGGTTATATATATATATATATATATATATATATATATATATATATATATATATATATATATATATATATATATATATAAATATATATATGTGTGTGTGTGTGTGCGTGTGTGTGTATGTGTATGTGTGTGCACGACTGAGTTAACGGGTGTGAGTTTGTCTGAGATCAAGCGACCTAGGTCCGGTTGCTGTGATTTTATCGTCAGTGTGTTGTGATGTTATTATCAGTGCGTTATGATGTTATTATCAGTGTGTTATGATGTTAACATCAGTGTGTTGTGATGTTATCGTAAGTGTGTTGTGATGTTATCGTCAGTGTGTTGTGATGTTATTATCAGTGTGTTATGATGTTAACATCAGTGTGTTGTGATGTTATCGTAAGTGTGTTGTGATGTTATCGTCAGTGTGATGTTCACATCAGTGTGTTGTGATGTTATCGTCAGTGTGTTGTGATGTTATCATCAGTGTGTTGTGATGTTATCGTCAGTGTGTTGTGATGTTATCATCAGTGTGTTGTGATGTTATCATCAGTGTGTTGTGATGTTATCGTCAGTGTGTTGTGATGTTATCGTCAGTGTGTTGAGGTTCGCTGATATAGCTCCAGTTTCTGTACAAGCACGGAAGATTAAGAAAAGAGTAATGGAGTATAAAGGGAAGATTTAAAAGAAAACACAAACTTGTGTGTCTGTATGCATCGTGTACGCTTTAATTAGCTTACCTCTCTCTTCTATAATTTGTCATCTTAGTGAACTTCTAATGAGCGAAATACAACCTTTCTGTTGCAGTCTATGAGCATGTTATCCCGCATGGCTGAGATGTTAAACTAAAACAAATGTGGCATCCAATAAATGGTTTCACATTTTGACAACCCACTCCTGGTTTACAACCTGCTGATGGTTGCTCCGTGTTGCTAGACAACTCAAAACTCCCAAACAGCAGAGTCGGGTACTGTGTGTTTAGACGTCAAACCCGGAAGTAAAATTATCTTATCTTTTACAATGTGGTGTCAAGATGATTGTAAACACACAACATACGTGTATTGTAAAGACATAATTGTGTTGTACAGCCGTAATACTGGCCCCCTACTCCCCCCTACTGCCCCCCCTATTGCCCCTATACTCCCCCCCACCCCCAAATCTGGCCCCCTACTTGTATTGTTTTTTTTTTCCAGCAGTGTAGATTTAACAATGCTGTAAAGGACGTTCAGACATGACACTTTGATAGTAAGATAGTCACTGGTTCTCAACACAGATAGTCACAGGTTCTCACCACAGATAGTCACTGGTTCTCACCACGATCGTACATTAGGGTTCGTGGCTTGGTCGGGTGTTATGTGTGGGGTGGCGGGGGAGGGGGTGGGTGTAGGGCATGTGCGGGGTGGAGGGGGGGGAAGTGTGTGATAGAACCCCCCCCCCCCCCAAATGGTTCAACTTATCATGAAAGACTCCAACAATGATGAAACAAGTTTTTTCCTGTACGATTTTTTTTATTTTTCTGTTAAAACTTGGAAATATGGCTGATTGAGTGAGTTTGTGTGAGTTTGTGTGAGTTTGTGTGTCTTTGTGTGAGTTTGTGTGAGTTTGTGTGTGATTGTGTGTGATTGTGTGTTTGTGTGATTTTGTGTGAGTTTGTGTGTGTGTGTTTGTGTGAGTTTGTGTGTGTTTGTGTGAGTTTGTGTGAGTTTTTCTGCAAATTGTGTGCTCACTTTTAAGTATTTCATTTTGTAAATTCTTTCTTCAAGGGCGCGTCAATCCGAAACCATTGATCCATTGCCGTCATAGTATGCCACTATCTCTGGTATCGACTCAATGACAAAAGCCTGCCAACACAGGTCAAACACAGGTCAAACACAGGTCAAACACAGGTCAAACACAGGTCAAACACAGGTCAAACACAGGTCAAACACAGGTCAAACACAGGTCAAACACAGGTCAAACACAGGTCAAACACAGGTCAAACACAGGTCAAACACAGGTCGAACAAGGAAGCATTTACCAACCTGCTTATATGTTGTTGTAATCTTCTGTACTTGTGAATCCCCCCCCCTCCCCCACGTCGTGAAGCTGAGATAAAAATTGACTTCCTGTACTGGTACACAC